CTTTATACTAAAAATTTAGTATACTTATTATATAGAGGGCTAATAACGCCTAATTAACTAGCTAAAAAACTAAGTTACTAAGCTTACTACTAAAGTTAATAAGTATATTAAGTTAATTTATAAAAATATAAAAAACACTACTACCTTAGTAATAGCTATTAATAAGGCTAAGGTAGCTATAGTAGTATAAAGTAATATTAGTAAAACTATTAGAAAAAGCTTATATACTAAGGCTAAAAAGATTTACTAGTAAGTAGCTTAAATTAATAATATTAAGAAATAAATTAACACTATTAAAGATAAAGTTAAGAACCTTAACTATAAAGTAAATAATCTTAACGCCCTTAATAAGTTTAAGGCTAGGGATTTTAAATAGTTATAAGATTAGGTTACCTTACTTATAAAGACACTTTACCTCTAGTAGGAGATATATACTACTACCTAAAGCGTTATTAGTAATATAAGCTTAGGTAGTAGAAGTAATAAGTAACCCTAACTAGTAAAAGAGCTTAGTAGCCTTATAGGCCTATAAAAAAAAAGTATTAGGCTAGGGCTATTAACTTAAGTAATAATAATAATAAGTAAATAGTAAGGTTAAAATATAAATAAATAACCTTAGGATATAAGGCTATAATATAGAGGAGATAGGAAAATAGTAGCTATTACTTTCTTAATTAGCTCTTAAAGTATTTAGTAAAAAAAGATAAGGTCTTTTTAAGGTAGGGCACTTATTATAAGATAAGGTAGTAAGTACTTATAGTTAGGAAATAGATAAATAGTAAGGACTAAATACTTAATATATATATAATATATTATATATACCTTAGGTATATATCTCTATAGTAAGTAACTTTTTATAGAAAAAAGGTTAACTATAAATACACTTTTTATTTACTACTTATCTTATCTTATATTATTTATTTAGCTTCTTACTATTATTTATTTTACTTTACTACTTTACTATTATACTTTACTTTTATATTATATTACTTTATAATACTACTATAGCCTAGCTTTATCCTACTAAAAGTATAATAGCTACTAAGAAGGCTATATTATTAGTATATCTAAAGTTAGATTAAGTAAAAGTATAAATATTATACTACTTATTAATCTTATTAGTAGTAAAGTAGTTCTTATAGAACTACTTTTCTACCTTAATAAGGGTTAGTCTAAAATAGTACCTAAATTACCTTAAGATTACTAGCTAACCTTCTTACTTAAAGATATTTTACTTTACTTTAGTAAGTTAAAATTCTTATTAGTTTTATACTTAGCTATAGAGGTACTAGTTAATTATTTAATAAAGTTACTATAAAAATAAAAGATCTTTATAAATTACTTTAACTACTTAAGTCTAAAGCTTTATATTATAGTAATATATTATAAAGTAGTTATAAAAGATAAGGTCTAGTAAGTACCTCTTAGTATTAGTATTAGGCTAGAAGATTCTTATAGTAAATAGTGTTTATAGCTAGGCTAAAGAATAACCTAAAGTAGCTATAGTAGTTACTAGTACTACTACTACTTATATTTAAGTAGTTATAGTATAAATAAAAGCTACTATAAGCTTTTTTATATTTAATACTAGTAGAAGTAGTATAGGTATAGTTAACTATAGGCTTTTTTACTACCTCTACTAGCTAGGGTTATTTTATAACTAGGCTATACTTATTAAGTCTTAGTGTTTTTATAATTATCTTACTATTAACTTTAACTTTACTAATTAAGTAGCTATAGTTATAGCACTAGCCTCCTTACTAAGGTACTAACTTAAGGGAATTATATTTCTTACTTAACCTTAGGCTAAAAGTAGTAAATATTATATTTCCCTTAAGGGTATATATATATCTTATTTTTATTAGCCTTAAGTATAGTAACTTATATTATTTAGAAATTAGCTTAGTATAATAAAAAACTATAGTTTAAGTAGGCCTATTAGTAAAATAGTATTATAGCTTAATAAGCTTATAATTTCTTATTTTTTACTTTTTAACTTAAACTATATTATTATAGTAGCTTTTACTTACTTTAAAAATAATAAGTCTAAAGAGATACTTCTTTTTTATTTAGGTATATTACTTATTATAATATTTTTATCTAGAAGTAGTTATTAAGAAGGCTTTTTTAAGGGGTAAGTAGTATTTATTTAGTTAGGTTTATTTTTAGTATAACTAGGTTTTAAATAACTAAAAGCTTTATAAGTTACTATAAAATAGCTAAATATTCTTTACCTTACTATATAGTCTTAATAATAGTAGTAAGTTAATTCTTATATCTTTAATAATCCTTTTTACTATATAAAAGATACTTTTAATCTAAAAAAAGTTATTAGCCTAGTTAATATCTAACTAAAAGCCTTATTACTAGTTATTACTAAAGTAGTATAATATATCTTTATTAAACTTTATAGTTATAAGGGATTATATATTATTATAAAGACTTTAAGGTAGCTACTAAGTAACCTTATAAGTTAGATTTTACTAAAGCTATATATAGAATTACCTAAGGTTAGAGATTTATTTAGGTTAAAGCGTTCTTAGTATACTATATCTCTAAGCCTATTACTTTTATTAAGGTATATATATTTCTTTACTATATAGTAATAAAAAGAAAACTTAATAAAAATAGTAAAAATAGTAAGGATAATAAAATAGTATAAATTAAGATAGTTATACTACTACTTAATATAGCCTTTTTAGTAGCTATTATAGTTCTAATAAGATAAAGCTAGGCTATAGTAGTATTATAAAGTAATATAGTATAAAGCTAAAGTGTAATAGTAAAGTAGTAAAGTAAGATAAATAATAATAAAAAGCTAAATAAATAATATAAAATAAAATAAGTAATAAATAAAAGGTGTATTTATAGTTAACCTTTCTTTTATAAAGGGTTACTGACTAAAGGAATATATACTTAGGGTATATATAATATATTATATATATATTAGGTATCTAGTCCTTACTATTTATTTATCTCCTAACTATAGGCACTTACTACTTTATCTTATAATAGTAATACTATCTAGAAATAATAAGCTACTTATAACTATATAAATTACCCCTATAGTAAGCCTACTTAATAATACCTTACTAATCTATAGTATCTTATAGTAGTAGTTACTATAAAGTTAACTACTAATTAGTATTAGTTTTACTAAGTTAGTAATATAGTTAACTAAATATATTAATAAGTAGTTATAAATAATAGTAGTAAGTCCTAGTCCTAAATTATATATCAAAAAGGGAACTGTTATAGGATTATATAGTAAATCTACTATATAATATCCCTATAGATTTAGTATATCTATAGCAAATTAGCTATAGTTATTCTAGCTATTTTAGTGTTAATCTATACTACTAATATCTAGGTAATAATTAATATTATAACATCCTTACTAACTTATAGTAATAGTAACTATAAAGTTAACTACTTATTAGTGTTACTATTTTAAGGGATTATAATTATAAAGTAGTAATAGTATTAATTTAACTGTTAGTTACTTATATAGACAATAATAATTAAGAAGAATAAGAAGAGGTTATTACTATAGATATTTATAGTAGTATAAGTAAGCTACTAAGGTGAATTACATAAGATAGGTCACGTGACTCTAGATCAGCTCTACTATTAGCTGGTTAAGTATCCTAACAAGTATGTATACAGACCCTGTTTAAAAACTATTTGCTAGTTCCTAACGGTCTAGTGATAGGAACTTAGTAAAACCACTCTTAAAGTATCTAGAACGGCTTTAAATACAAAGACACAGACACACACATACACATAATATATTACGCCTGTCGGCAACGCTACACGGCCTCTAAAGCTGACTATATGTACCTTGCTGAGCTTATGCCTTTGCCTCCTTAAAGCCCATAGGTAGTGTCTCCATTTCCTTCTTACTTCTCCTATTCTGCCTCCTCGCTGCGGATTTCCGTAGTGTAGTTTATTATGAGCATGCCATCCTGGAACCTATTCTCTAGGTGTTTAACGTCCTATCTAAGGCGGCTGAAGTGGTGTCTGCTGTTTATAGCACGGGTTGGTAGTTGGTTGGGGTTATGTCGGCTTTGATGTGTTGGAGTGTCATCCACTATTCCAACAAAGACACACATGTATTAACATGAAGTCATTAACACCATCAACAATAGAATATCAGTACAATATATAGTATCTTGAGAATCTGGCTACTGTAGATTAGGGCAGCGGTCGGTCAGATGCCAGAATAACCGACAGAGCTACTAGATTAGTAGTATTCTAAATCTTAAATTAAATTCTGTGTGAGCTAATCTTTTAGCAATTCGTAGATTGTAGCTTAACAGACTGCTTGACAGCACCATCAAGCTCTGTAATAGAAATTTGACCCTCACCACTACCCTCAGTAGTCATAGTAAGGTAGTTATTGATAATCAATGTAAATTTGCCTCCAGTAGAGTTGCAGCCAGATTGAAACTCAGTGTCAAGCTCGTTAACAAATGCAGTCGATAGGTCGACAGGTCCTTTAAAGGGCCATTCCATGTTGGTAGTACCGTCATTGTTTGCAAACTTATACTGGTTCTGGTTCTTAGCCCAGGCACCTTCAGTCAAGTTCACATGTCCTCGGTAAGTGCCGCTATAATAGTATTAGTCTCATTCGTTCAAGTTGCGAGAATGGTAGTGTTTCTTGTACCTTATAATAACAAGCTGTTTGTCAGCACTTGTCTCCAGGCCAACCTCAATGTGGCATTCGGTTTTGACTTCAGGCTGTCCGGGGTCTAAGGGGTTTTCTTAGCACGGGCTTCCTATTATCGACCGAGTAAAACTCACGGATTGAAGCATTTAGAGCTTTGTAAAGCACATCAAAGGTACCGTCAGTCCCGAGTTTTCCATCAAGGGTGCCTGGCGGGCAGCCGTCTCCGGAGTAATTAATGCCAGTAACGAAGATAGGGGTGCTGTCTTCAGCTTGCTGTCTCTCTATGACCCCGCTAAGAGGGCTGCAAATCGCAGCTCCAGCGAAGACGAGAGCGAGAGCAGACGGTGAGTGAACCATAGTGGCGACTACGACCTAGATAAATCGAAAGATGTAAAAACACAATTGAGACAGTCTTAGTAAAGTGCATTGAGTGAAGGTAGCGAATTTTCCCACTCTTTATAGACCAAGGAATTGCTAAGCAATAATAAATTAATCCTATAAAGCTGTAATGTCACAAAGCTAGAAGATTCCGGGACGCCCGAAATTAAAAGTGGGCCTACGAAAATGTTAATTATACTAAAAAATGCTGTAGTTAAGAACATAATAGTTTAAGGTTTACAAGTACTAAACTTACTCATAATAGTGTTTAGTGGCCTGTGGTCTTGTCTTGTATAAGTCTATAGACAAGCTAATAATGTCAAAGTAGGCAAAATAGTCGCACGTGCCCGGATTAATGTAGGGCAATTGGCCGGAAATGCGCCAGTCATTTCTCAGATAGATTTTGTCAAATGTGGCGAAAGTCCACGTGAATTCACTAGCGAATACACTGTTAAATGTAGCGGAATTACACGTGAATTAGCCGGCGAATTGTTAGGGAATAGGCGGTGAATTGGCCCCACTTTTAGGGATAACTTCACTAATAATATCGCTAGGATTAGCCTAAGATTTCCTAACTAAGAAATAGGGGGTTTTTAGTATTCCTATAGGATTTTACATTAGTTATATAATATATAATATATTTAATTAATTAACTATTATAATCTTTATAATTTAATAATTAATAGTTTAATATATATACTTATAATAACTAATATACTTATCTATTAATTAATTTTATTATAATAATTAATAATATTTAATTAATTAACTATTATAATCTTTATAATTTAATAATTAATAGTTTAATATATATACTTATAATAACTAATATACTTATCTATTAATTAATTTTATTATAATAATTAATAATAATAATAATAATAAGCTAACTATTTTATAATTATATAGTAATAAGTTTATATAGCTTATTACTATTTAAGTAAAGATAAAGTGTTATAATCTCTAGGAGTATATTAACCTAGAGGTTATAGTAGTTGTTAAATTATAAAGATTATAATTATTAATTAATTCTATTATATGTTATATAAGTAAAGTAAAAATCCTATAGAAATAAGGAAAGCCCCCTATTTCTTAGTTAAGAAATCCTAGGCTAATTTTAGTAGTATTTATTAGTAAGTTTACCCCTAATAGTAAGGCTAATTTACTATATATTCCCTAGTAACTTACTATAAGGTAAGTATATATTTACTAGCTAATTTATATATAATTTTACTATATTTAATATACCCCCTTAGTGCTAGTAATATAATTAATTACTATAGAGCCTACCCTAAATATTCTCTATATATAGCCTATTTATTTATTAATTATCTTTTAATATCTTATACGTTTTTCTTCTTTATCTAGTAGTAAAGCTTTACTTTATTATTAGCTAATTCTTACTATTAATTTACTTTAAGATATATATATTAGTTACTTATATTTAATTAAGCTATAAATATAGTAAATTATAACGCACTAAGTGCCTTTATTAATCTATTAGCTATTAATTTAGTAGACTTCTTATATTTAATAGTAATCTAATTTACTACTACTTCTTAGTATAGCTAGTAATTATAGATATTTATATACTATAGCCTTATTTATAATTACTATAAAGTAGTCTTACTATAGGGGTAATTTATATAGTTAAAAGTGGCCTCTTATTTCTAGATAGTATTACACTACGCCTTATAGCTAAATACTGCCTTATTCCTAAATTATAAAGTAATATTATACTAGACGTAGTATTATATAGTAATATCTTACTTAAGGCTACCTTATTCCTTATAATAATAATTAAATAAACTTCTTAATAATAAGCCTAAAAGTCTAAGTATTATTATAGCTAATATAAATAGTTAGTAGCTACTTAGTAGCTACTTACTTATTAAGTAATAATATAGTTCTTAGTTAAGTTAATAGTTAAATACCTAGTATAGTAATTAATCTACTACTAAAAAGTACCTCCTTTATAATAAATAATAGTACAAATAATTTAGCTTTAGTAATTAATATTATTACTATATCTTATTTATTAGCTTATTAGAAGATAAGCCTTTTAGATAGCTTTAGTATATATACTTATAAGCTATAATAGTTTAGTAAGTTATTAGTAAATAAGGCGTCTAAAGTGACCTCTAATATGTTATTTTTACTACTTAGTATTACTTTATATTTAAAGTAAATATACTATATTTAATAAAGATATCTAAGTATATAATTTATACTTTTTTAGTAATCTAGATTTAAGTTATAGTTAAAATAAGTAAGCTAGCTAGCTATAAAAGTAATTATTAGTTATTACTAAGGTAGTAATATAGTTAACTATAATATATATAATAAGTAAGTTAATTAATTTTATAACTACTACTTTAATATATTTCCTCCTTAACCTAGGTTATTACCTCTCTTTATAACTAAATATCCTATATATTAGCTATACCAAGACTCTCTTGTTACTTTAGATAAGTTTCTTATACTTTTTTATATTATTTAAGTAAGTTATTCTCCTTATAAAGGGTTTTAACCTTAGCCTTTAATAAAGTATTTTTATATATAATTCCTAACGCTCCTTTAAGAATATACTTAGTAGTTATTAATTTATATATTAAGGAGCTATCTAGATAATTAATAAAGTAATCCTTAATAAGAGTTCTTTAAGAAAATATCTCTATTACGTTATATAGTGTCTAAAAAGTCTAAGCTAGTAGTGTTATTAAAAGGGATCCTAAAGGTGTTAGAGTATATAACTTAATATCTAGCTTTAATAGTACACTTTCTAGACTTAGAGAGATAAGCCCTGCCTTTTTAAAGCTTCTTTAAATATTTACTTTTATAAAAGCTTACTTAAAAGCGTTATAAAATACTAAAAAAAGTTTTTTTTTATAATATAAGTATTACCTTATTATATTTTATCTTTAATTTCTTAACTATACGCTAGCTTTAAAGGACTAAAACATCTAATATCTAAGGGCTAAAGTAAATAAGATAAATAAGGTAGTATATAAAAGGTAATAATATTATTTTTTTTATA